TCTGTTTAAAGTAGACCCTGGAGTATTTTATAGCATCATCCTGTGGAACATTTGTGGACCCCACTTCATACAGAATACTAAAAAATGTTAAAGGAGCAGATTCTAACAATTTTATATATAAACAAACAGAAAGGAAGGAAAAATGTATTAAATAAGACAGAATATAAAGACAAAAAGAACTCAAAATATTCTGCTATCAGAAAGCCAGTTTGGATTGTAGGACTGCTTTAAAGTCCACATTAAACAACTCAACAAGGTGCAGGTCTTGACAAAGGATTAGATACAATGTGACACATTGGGACTAAAAAAACTAATATGTGTTAAGGTTCCAGTTTCTGTGGGTTGTTTTTCTGTGTTTTTTCTCTCCCCACCACCAGGCGGTGCCCTGTTCTCGTTGGGCCTCCCTGCACACCTGCGGCTCGTTGGTTTATTACCAGAGGAGTATTTGAGCTGCGGACTGTCACCACCTCGACGCCAGAGAGTTTGCCAGTATTGGGTACTCTAGCCTGAATGAGATTAGCTGAGTCCAACCTTTGCCTTGTCTCTGAGTCTAAGCCTTGCCTTTGTCTTTGTTCTCTGGTAGGATTCCCTCCAGATCCACTGGATAAGCCTGGTCCTTCTACCCCCCTTGGAAGGAATAACTCGAGTCTTTCACCAGATCTGTTCAAGCCCACTTCTGGCTTTCTGAGAGAATCTCTGCATGTGGGTAAGATCTTTAAAACCCATCATGACCTTATGTATTTGATGCCATTCTATTATAATAAAAAGAAGAATAAAGACAGTTTTATTCCACCACAGAAGAGCTTTCAGTATACTAAATGAATCTGTAAATAGAAAAGCAGTAGAATCAGAACCGCAGAGGAACTATCAGATCTGGTCCTGGAACTAGAGCTGCACGGTCGAACCCGGGTGCTGGAGGCAGAACTGCATGGATCAAGCTTTTGGAGCCACTGAGATTCAGAGGTCCAAACTTAAATCCAATGCATTAGTAGCAGACTGAAGACTGCTTAAAACAAAAGGAGAGCTCTCTGTAAATAACAATCTACAATTTGCGAATAAATAAGCTTAAAAACTGTCAGCCATCATGGCAGAAGAGGAAAACCTTGACCTGGATCAGGAGGGTCACAATAACACTGTGAGTGAAGAGGAAAATCCTCAATGGAAGACTGAAAAAAGACAATGAAATTAATGAAATAAACTCACAAAATTAAGACAAACTATTACAGTGTTTAAAAATGAAAGAAGGTGTGTGAATGACATTAAGTGAGGTTTTAAAAGGTTTTTGGGGTTTGTCTGAAGAAACAAAACATGTTCATCAGGTTTTGTTGGGTTTATTGCCTGTGAATGAAGCACAGAAACATGATGTATGGGTTAAAGTTGCTGCTACTCATAAATGGTTGGCTGAGGCTCCAGGTTGCTCAACTGGTGTGATGATGATGCTAAAGAAAATTAGAGTAAAATAATAATGAAGCTGAACCAAAGACTGATCAGATTGGAGCCACTAACATCCATCTCAAGATTGGGAGTCAATGTGTGCATTTGATTTGCACTATAAAGCAGAGGAGGATCCAGGATTCTAGGAGATCATTGGCCAAGAGGATGAAGATGAAAGTGAAGAATTTCTTATAAATCCCGTTCTAATGTAGAATATGGCAGACTACTGGATTAAAGACATTTCTAATATATTACATGCTATCAACAATTCCCCGTCCATAACATGGGAAGAAAGTAATTCACCTGCAAGTCTTTAACTGTGTTTATTCCTCTCTTCATCAACAAAAAACTCTGTGAATTTGGTGACATTTGATCATCATTTGCTAAAGTTATGAGAGGAGAATCATATATTTTAAGCACCTGATATAATCGGTCTCCCCCATCATATGGGGAAAAAAATAAAGAAATCCTGTGAATTTTGAAACTGTCATTATTTTTCTATATTATGTTAGAAACATTTATTATTTTACATTTTGAGATCCAAAAAAGTTAAAATAAATATGATTGTTGGTTTGGCGAACTTTATGAAACATATTTTCAATTCTCAATTCAAATGTCTGCAGTAGCATTGCTCCAGACATTTTGAATTGAGAAATCTTTCTGGATGGAAAGAGAAACATCTTCCAACTTGGAAAACAAAGTCCAGTGTTTTTGGTTTGAACTTTTTGTGGAATATTTATAAATTCTTAGATAAACATTTAAACAGAAAATACATTTAATAAAGATCATCAAAGGGGGAACGGATTATATCAGGTGGCTAAAATATATGATTTCCCTCTCATAACTTTAGCAAATAATGATCAAATGTCATTAAATCCACAGAGTTTGTTGTTGATGAAGAGAGGAATAAACACAGTTAAAGACTTGATGGTGAATTAATTCAATCCCATGTTATAGAGGAGGAACGGATTATTTCAGGCAGCTGAAATATCCATTCTCTCCTCCTCCAATATGTTTGGGAAATAAAGAGCAACTGTTTCCAAATACTCAAAAACTGTTATGTGTAATATCATGCAGTATACTAGAAAAGTCCTTAATGCAGTAATCTGTGATAGATTAGAACGGGATTTAACAGAAAGTCTGAACTCTCATCTTTTCAGGAACTCTTAATTTCTGTGTCCTGCTATCAGCCAGTTTCCATCCTCTTTTATCACCAATGAAATATTATAAATACTCACTATGTGCTGGAAAACTGTGTTTGGTGACTGACTTATTTTTTCAGGCTTAAGGGACAGAAGTTGGAAAAAGACTGATTCTATTGCCGTTTAAAAAACACAAAACAACGTAAAAAGGACCTCATCTATTTATTTATTTAACAATTTTATAAACAACAGCTGCTGATTAAACTGGATGTTAAAATGATTATAGGAGTTGATTTTAGCGAGAAATTGATCAGAAACGTGGTGAAAATGATCCCATCCTCCCTGGCTTCAATGCGCTCCCGACACAAGGGGAACAGAACTTCATACAACACCGGGACAAAAAACATCAGTCTGTTTAGCAACAGCTAGTGGTGACAACTTCTTCTTCTGCATGTGAAAGCTACATGCTGATTTCCTGTGCATGCTGCCACCATCTGGTGAATTCCAGTACTGCTTTTTTTACTTAGATCAGCTCAGAAGCGAGATCTGGGACTCTGGGGGAAACATCCGGGGCTGTAGCCCAAGTGGCCACCCCCTAGATCCGCCACTGCTATAAAGTTTTTATTATTTGATCAGATTGGCATGATTTCTAGATATGAAATTGCAAAGCAATGTAGTAGTTTTAAGTTGAAAAGAACATGAATGTGCATCAATTCAAAATAAATTTATATGGCTACATGCTCTAAACATTTCACTGATGGCCTCATGTCCAACTGCAGCTTTTAGTTTAAACAACCACATCTGAAAATGATTATATATTCTTTGAATAGAGGCATGGGCATTTAGTGCTGCAATGAAACTCCCATTTCAGCTATGTGGGAGAAGATGAGGAGTGGAGAACTAGTGGTTAGGGAATAGAGCTTGGAATCCTTAGGTTGTGAGTGTGAAACTCCATTGTCTGGGCGCCGGACAATGGCAGCCCACTGCTCCCCAAGGGGGATGGGTTAAATGCAGAGAGGGAATTTCATTGCTCTGTACTTGTGAAAGTAGAATGACAATAAAAACAAACACTGGAGTTTTACTCTTTCATATTTTCTGTCTGATGGTCACTATACAGCAGGTTCTTTAAAGGTGTAGTATTATTAAATTGATTAGGAAAGAATACAATTGATATAAATGTTTTTTTGTTTGTTTGTTTTTTATGGCACAGGATATTTAATGTTGTATAAACTGAACTATTTCAGCAAGGGTAGGGACTCAAGGTATTACATACATGTCATTTTATGTTATTAGTTTTTAATAACTAAAGAAAGGAACGTAATAAATGTTTTCATAACAGGAAGTGATAGCAGTAAAAGAACTATCACTAATATGTTAACTCTTCACTATTATGTTATTCTATTTTTCTAAGGTCCACATTTATGTTACCATTTTTCTATAATCTTTTTGCTGCTTTAAACTGCAGAATTTCCCCATTGTGGGAAAGTAAAGGGGTTTTCTATTCTATTCTAAGAAATTGTCTATAAAAGAAGAAGGCAGATTTAAAGAACTAGTTTAGATCAAAAGTTGTTTCAACCCAGCTGAAATGTGTAACACTAACATTATGAAACCAGATAAATGTGTGTAAATAATTACATCTGTAAAGAGTCTCCATAGTCTTTAGTAAGAGTATAAAAACTAATTTAAACATAATTGGAAAGAAACATTTATTTGACAAATATAGTTTATCTAATTGTAGGAACAACTATGATATTTTCCAACAAATTTCATGTAAAATAAATGATTGATTAAATTATTATTTAGTTAATTATCACTAGTCACTGCAATCATTTCCTCTTTCATTCAAAATTTTAATTAAATTGTCTTATTAAAATGTTTAACTATTTTAGGCTTGAATTAAAGGCTGCAATGTTTCATGGCTTAAGGCTGGAAGGAAATAACCTGACAACAGCCAGATGCATGTCTCGCTAGGCGGAGTTAGACATGCATCTGGCTGTTGTCAGGTTAGGAAGGAAATGGTTTAAATAAGAAAACATAAGGATGTAGTAAATTGTAATTCATATTTATTCCAAACTCAAACCAGCAAATAATTCTAAAACAAATAATACTAGAAGTAGATGATTGAATGTTCTACAGAGGATTTGGGTAAAGTGTTTCCGTTTAACTCATAAATTAAACATTAGGTACGGTTTTGTTATATCTAACAATGAAAATTCCTTCCTTTTTCTCCGCCTTGAACCTCCCCCCATTTTTCTTCGTTTGTTATTCATGTCGCGCCTTATTTTAAAGTTTCAAACTCAACCAATTGCTGAGTAGGGCGGGCTTTACCACGTGTTTCATTTGGTCCAATCAGAGGCCACCTCACGCCGCGCGTGTCTTTATAAAGCCGCTGTTTCTCATTGCGGTAGTATCTTCGTCGTTTAACGAGAAGTAATCAGTCAGACATGGCAAGAACTAAGCAGACCGCCCGTAAATCCACCGGAGGAAAGGCTCCCAGGAAGCAGCTGGCTACCAAAGCTGCCCGTAAGAGCGCCCCGGCTACCGGCGGAGTGAAGAAGCCCCACCGCTACAGGCCTGGAACCGTGGCTCTCCGAGAGATCCGCCGCTACCAGAAATCCACGGAGCTGCTCATCCGCAAGCTGCCCTTCCAGCGCCTGGTCAGAGAGATCGCTCAGGACTTCAAGACCGACCTGCGCTTCCAGAGCTCCGCCGTCATGGCTCTGCAGGAGGCCAGCGAGGCTTACCTGGTCGGTCTGTTCGAGGACACCAACCTGTGCGCCATCCACGCCAAGAGGGTCACCATCATGCCCAAAGACATCCAGCTGGCCCGCCGCATCCGAGGAGAGAGGGCATAAGCACAACCAGCTCACAACAACCCAACGGCTCTTTTAAGAGCCACCAAACCATCTTCAGAGTTCACTTCCTCCATTACCATGTTATTTAAGTTCAGATTACTAAATGGTTCAAAGCAGGGGAAAAGTGAATAAACATATAAATCAAAAACTACACAAACTAAAATCACCTCTAAAATAAAGTTTGACTTATTAAGTTAGTCTTCCATAAAGAGGAAATGTTATTGAAATGCAAACCAGTCATGGTTGGATCCCATCAACAGGGCTGCCCCCCACATCTGTTTTTCAAGTTAAGGATGATCATGTTAGAAGCTATTTACCATTTATCTGAGTTAACTTTTATTTCTTTCGCTCTATATTGTAATGTCTGTATATAGTTTCCGAAATATAACTCAAATGTGATTCTCACTGGTGATATATACATTTATTTTGACTTACAGGCTTTAATTTGTACACACACAAGGTGTATTGAAAAGCATTAAATAGAAATGGACAGCAGCACAATACTTTTGAGGGACAGTCATATTTCTATGGACACTCCGACTCTGTGTATCGATGTTTATTACTTTGTTTTGACAAAAATAAATTATGTTAAGTATAGATCTGTAGACCATATCATTTTTAAAGTGCAGGAAAGCAGCAGTGATAAAACCATTGTGATAAAAAAAAAAAGTGACATAAACAAATGACTGTAAAGTTACATTTTAGGGTTTTTTTTAAGTAAAATGAATAAACTAAAAGCATCCTGGATGAATTATGGGGCACGTAGTTTCGCGCTTAAACGTCAGATGTTTTGATTGGACGAAGGGGTTTGTTGTCGTATGCGACCAATCAGTGAGCTTTTGAGCTACGATAGGCTTATATAAACTCCCGATGCGTCGCTGTTCAGACACTTGTGAATGAACTCCTGAACAGAAACAATGTCTGGACGTGGAAAGACCGGAGGCAAAGCCAGGGCTAAGGCCAAGACCCGCTCATCCAGAGCCGGGCTGCAGTTTCCCGTCGGCCGTGTTCACAGGCTGCTGAGGAAGGGCAACTACGCTGAACGCGTCGGCGCCGGAGCTCCAGTTTATCTGGCCGCAGTGCTCGAGTATCTCACTGCTGAGATCCTGGAGCTGGCTGGAAACGCTGCCCGTGACAACAAGAAAACCAGGATCATCCCCCGCCATTTGCAGCTGGCTGTCCGCAACGACGAGGAGCTCAACAAGCTGCTTGGTGGAGTCACCATCGCTCAGGGTGGAGTTCTCCCCAACATCCAGGCTGTGCTGCTGCCCAAGAAAACCGAGAAGCCCGCAAAGAAGTAAAACTGCTGGACTTCACATCAAACACAACGGCTCTTTTAAGAGCCACCCACATCTTTCTCAAGAGCACATTTCTGTTAAAATATGACATATTTTTCTCTTGTTCTGGGGATAAAAAAGGTTCCTAGACATAAGACTTGTTTATTAACATAAATGTAACCAAATCTCAAGAACGCTATAGAGTATTTACTAAACCTGACCAGACACTAAATAATTCAAGCCCACCTGAGTAAACCCAAATCTTAGGAGTGTTCACTTTTAAGTATGTATATTTATTTTGTGGATCAAGGTGGAATGATTGCTTGACATGACTCCATCTAGTACGGAAAAAGGGAAACCTGATCTATACATTCGCCCTAAACTGTGATTCAAATCTCTATAATTATATCCCCAAAAAAGAAAAGTAGCGTCCCTACATAAAGCACTGACTTTATTACTAAACCTGACCAGACATCAAATAACTCAACCTCATATGAGCCTAAAATGTTTTAAATGACTCAATGCCACAGATTTCTTTATAAATCTGATGGTTCTAAGTTGATTAAAACCAAGGATGGTTTTAGCTTTCTCTTTGACCAAATACATTTATAAGGATTTTGTGTATTTGTAGGCACCTACAATCATTTCGATTCAGTGGTAAAATAGACTAAACGCTGTTTGATCCTATATTATCTGGAATAAAATATGTAATTATACGTTCATTTTGTGGGTTTCTCTTACTGTATTTCCACTTGTTTTAAAAGCGGATGTGGTTGCAACCCTAAAGGCGGAAGAGAGGGGAAACGGTCCCCTCTTACGTCCGTCAGATGTGTTTAAATAGGGAGGCTCTTAGCAGAGTTGAGTTTATTCTTTCGGTGAAACCAGCAGAAGCAACATGAGCGGACGAGGCAAGGGAGGCAAAGGACTGGGGAAAGGAGGCGCTAAGCGTCACCGCAAAGTTCTCCGTGATAACATCCAGGGAATCACTAAACCCGCCATTCGCCGTTTGGCTCGCCGCGGTGGAGTCAAGCGCATCTCCGGTCTCATCTACGAGGAGACCCGCGGTGTCCTGAAGGTCTTCTTGGAGAACGTCATCCGTGACGCAGTCACCTACACCGAGCACGCTAAGAGGAAGACTGTGACCGCCATGGATGTGGTGTATGCTCTGAAGAGGCAGGGCCGCACTCTCTACGGCTTCGGAGGTTAAATTCAAACCGCTTCAACCAGCAAAACAACGGCTCTTTTAAGAGCCACCCATCTTTCTTGAGACATGGTCCACATTCTAAAATATATTTATACAGGCATTTATTCCTCTATAAAATAGTAATCTTGATGCAGGAGCTCAAAACATTATTTCTCCAGGTTTTCAGAAAAAGTGTCCTGTGTATTTTATGGTCATTGGGTTATTCGTTTCAGAGTTTAAATTGGATACCCTGTGTGTATTCCTATAAACTACAATACCTATGCAATATAGTGAGATTTTCATTACTTTTCCCACCTGTATATACAGTTTATTCTTCATGCACCTTTCTCTCATGTGTGCACCTACTGTTTATAAGTAAATATCTCCAATAAAGTTCTCTTATCTTAACCGTTTAACCCTCTACGTTGAATGTGAAGCAGATTTCAGTTCAGAACCAGTTTTCTGAACAATATTCTGATATCTCAGTCTTAATCTTTCAAGCAGTGAACAATAGTTTTGCTCCCTATAAACAGGAATTGATCTTTCTTATAAGAACTTGGCACAATGTGTGAAAAGACTCTATTTCAGTTAGAAATTTGTAAACTACATTGAACTATGTAAGACTTGCTATTTTTAGTCATTGATTCTTGATATCCAAGATAAAAATTATAACCTGTAATAATTGGATTATGTAGATGAAAATTCATTTTTAGACATCCCAAATGTTTATTTTAGATAGGAGGAATACTATTAAAGATATCTGAAAGTAACAGCCCAATACACATGAATGGGGAAAAGTGACGTCATTTGTCTTATTAAGAATTACATTTCAGATATCTGAAATGGAATTGAAATGTATTTTGGTATTAAAGATACCAAAATACAAATATATGCTAAAAAAAGCCCCTTAAAATAAATAAGGATTTGTAGATACGTACCTTAAATGTAGTTCTTACAAGTTTGATTCCAGAGTATTTAAAATGTCATTTCTACTGGTAGAAATGTGATTAGTGATATCTAAAATACAATTCTGACTAGGAACATTATTATTGTGACTAGGTGCAATGCTTTAGTGCTATCTATAATAGAAATGCTACTGTCAGCCTGCTTATTTTATGTTAAAATTGACCCCCCATTGCTTTTTCTATGTTAAAATTTGTTCTTAAGTGTCTAAAACAAAATTAGGGCAAATTACATTATTACAGGCATTATTACAATTTAGATATCTGAAATTGGCAATTTAACTAGTCACATATCCAGCAGTCCATATATGTAATTATATTTATACTAGCAGAAATATATTTTTGATATTGAGAATTAGATACCTGGATATATAGGATGTTATAATCATTTTTGATAACTGAAATAGTAATTATGACAAGTAGTAACTCTATTATAGAGATCTGAAATTAGAATCCCTCCTTGTCAGAATAAATTTTTAGATAGGAAGAATGTTATTTTGGATATCTGAAATGTTTATTTTGACTCGGAAGAAATGCATTTGAGACATCTAGATTACATATTCAGTCAAGCTAATAAATGTCAAAAGCGCCACTTAAAATTTGTAAACATTTCTATGTATATGAAAGTTTATTCTTGTTACTACAATTATATTTTGGCACCCTGAAATTGGATTTTTGCTGGTAAAAATGTAATTTAGGATATCCATATGTACAGTTCCAACTAGTGGGAATGTAGTTTTGACCAGGAAGAATCTTATTTTAGAGATCAACAAATATAACAATGGAGCGGATAGCGCTTCTAATAAAATGCTAAAACGGCCTGCCACAGGTCAGGGCAATATAAATCAGTGTGATGGATGTAGCCTGTGCACAATCTAAATATTGTGTAAAGGGGGCAATTTGTACACATATACACTAAATGTTATGATATATGATGTGCTTTTTGGGGCCTTAAGGGCCAGATAACCTTCCATGGGGTGTTGAGTTTGGCTGCAGCCTTGTGTTTAACTTCCTGTTCTCAATATAATCTAAACTCAATTCACACCTTGGTCCTAAACCTGTCGAGATAGGAAGTAAGCCGCAGCAAAAATGTCCTCACTTTGGTAAAAACTGTCCCTAATTCTAAGCTGAAATTGGTCAAACATTCATGATCAATCCATCCCCCCTCTCTCCCACATGAATAAGCTCCCTTCCCCCACACCCAGAGCTGCTCTAACGCTCCCATCCTGTGCACCAATCAGAGGCAGGGTACAGCTCAGCCTTCTTTACATACAGCCGCTATAAAAACACTGGTCTCTTCCTCTTCCCGCTCATTCGTTGCTGTTTCTAGGAACACATCAGGATGCCTGAACCCGCCAAGTCTGCGCCCAAGAAGGGCTCCAAGAAAGCCGTGACCAAGACCGCCGGCAAAGGAGGCAAGAAGAAGAGGAAGACCAGGAAGGAGAGCTACGCCATCTACGTCTACAAGGTGCTGAAGCAGGTCCACCCTGACACCGGCATCTCTTCCAAGGCCATGAGCATCATGAACTCCTTCGTTAACGACATCTTTGAGCGCATCGCCTCCGAGGCCTCCCGCCTGGCACACTACAACAAGCGCTCCACCATCACCTCCAGGGAGATCCAGACCGCTGTGCGCCTCCTGCTGCCCGGGGAGCTGGCCAAGCACGCCGTGTCTGAGGGCACCAAGGCTGTCACCAAGTACACCAGCTCCAAGTAAACTTGCTTTACTAAACCAAACAAAGGCCCTTTTAAGGGCCACACACATCCATCCAAAAGCAAACGGTTCCCTTTGTCTTTTAAACTGGTGGGAAATCGGTCACCCAGTCATTATTGCCTCTGTAAATTAGTTTAGGATCCTAAATCCAACCCAGAGTCATTGAAGAGTAGCTTCGGTCCCTGTTCTGTTTGCCTACTTTCAGATGAGCAGCCGTAATGGGAGGATACGTTTACTTTTTCGCTGTCACAAATTACTTAAATTGTGGAAACTAAATACATTTGATTTTAGGGGTAAAAGTTTTTAAGCTGAACGTTATTCACAACATTCACAGCCTGTGTTGTACAGGGGACCAAGGGGAAATTATGTAAACGTTGAATGCTGCTCAATTAACTGACAAAATTCAAAGTAATTCTATTTGTATTTTCATATTGTACATCTAAACAAATGGTCTAGGAGGAACCAGTAATCCGGTCATTAAAAGTTAATTTTGTTTAAATCAGTGCAAAGGTAGAAGTATATGAAAATCTAGTTCCTAGTTCATGAGGGTTATGTCGCCGCCTACTGGTGGAAAGCAGAACTACAGTTTGTAATAAAAGCTGTTATTTCTTTGCATTTTTTCCCCCCATTTTGAGTCCCTTCGAAATTAATGGTCAGTGTGTGTTACTCCTCGAGATAATCGAGGCTCAATGTCGTTATTTTGGTTTTAACAGCCATTTATTGTGGACACGTCTTATAAAGCCCCTAAAAATGCCAGAATGAAGGGAAACAGAAACCCAAATTAGCTAAAAACAAATATAAAGCTTTACACAAATAAATACAAGTAAAACAAAGTCATACCTCATTGGCTGCATAAACTCCAGAGGAATAAAGATAATTTATAGAGCTTTTCTCACAAAAACAGTCTTTAGGCTTTCTGGTTAAACTTCTTGAAACTATGATGCAAAAAATTGTGTCAATCAATCTTTCCCATGGGCAACAACGTGACATGCGGAACAAAACATAGGTTCCTCCTTACATTTTAACCCTTTCATGCATAGTGGTCACTACAGTGGACAGTTATTAAATGGTTGTTTTCTCTTAAATGAACATGTTTTAATGTCACATTTGCACATATGTTACTACAGTGGACGCTAATGTATCATCCTGCCACTTGTCAAACTGCCACCTACTCGTCAGCCTTTGCAAGTGACTTTTTTTTCCTCAAAAAAAAAAAAAAAAATGGCCGACAGAGGAGCACATGGGTTGTGAGGGAGAGGAATATCTGCTCATTCCTTCTATTCTAGGCGATCCTTGCAGGTAACAAAAATATGGGGACATCAAGTAACAATAGTTTTCTTTAAAACAAAACAAAACAAGGTTATATCAGTTGCACAAATGCGCATTGTCCACCCAAGTGGACATGTTACCAACTCCCTAAAGAAAGTATATTTTTTTTAAAAATTTATGAAAATGTTTTTTTCATTCATAAAGAGTAATAAAAACACTTGGTAAAAAAATCATAACATATACTATCATAATTCATGCATGAAAGGGTTAATGTGCTTTTTAACCAATTAACATAAATAACATAAATTAACTCAAGGTTATTAATTTATTTATGATTGAACATTTAATTTTAATACTATGTATTAACTCTTGTTTTTATCTAAATATAAGAATATTTAAATGAGTTGACTTTTATTGCATTTTGAGTGTAAAATATATAAGATCAATCAGGTGCAGGCTGGGACCCTTTTTCCACCTGTATCCCCGCTATTTTTCACCGTCATGTCCCTCCGTTGTCAGACAAACTCACCCCCCCCCACTTCCTTATCGCCTCGGCCGTATCTAGAACCACAGCGTATAGAGCAGACCACGCTTTAATACTGAGCATAAATCAAAAATGTCTGCTTCAAGCTCACTGCGACACACTGCTGCTGGAGTATAACCAGCCCTTAACTGTGTCCGCTGGCTTGCTCAGATTTTGATCATTACATTGTTTATTCTAACCCAAACTAGTTTTAAGCAACTAGATTGGTTGGAAAAACAACCAATCTATTCTTAAAATCTATCCAAACTCTATCCAGCTGACAGCAGCTCTCCTATAAACTCCATCTTGACTGAATACTGAGGCTGTTTAGATGCCTGTAATAATTCTTGCGCTTCCCGAAGCGGTCTCATGGTATCACAGTAGTGAGGCCTTGGACGTAATCAATCTTGGTTCCTCCTCTAAATAAATCAAGCCTCGACACGCGCTTCGTGGAAACGCCCCGCAGCAGTGTGTCGCAGTGAGCTTGACGCAGACGTTTTTGATTTATGCTCAATATTAGGGCGTGGTCTGCATTATACGCTCTGGGTCTAGATACGGCCGAGTTAGAGAGGAAGTGGGACAATTTTGTCCGACAACGGAGGTATGAAGATTGAGTGCTTTAATAAATAGTTGTGATTACCGACTGTGAGTCAGCAAACTGTAAGAAACTTAACCTAAGAACCTTCAACCACGTAGTAGTGCAGTATCTGATATTCAGGTCCCAGTCATCGGTGACAGAGCAGACAAGCATGAATGCGTAGTGCAGTGTGTCAAGAAGAAAATATTTTTTGCACAGGTAGATGTGGATGTAAAATATTGGAATAAAAAAATAGAAAAGTTATGACTAACGATATTAATGTGAGTGGATATGTTGCACAAAGCTGCGCTTATACTTAATAACAACATGCTATTACGATTACCAGTCCTTGTGTGTGCTGTGCTTAACTAAGGTTTTAACTGTAATGAGAGAAGTGAGCTGCTATCATATGCTTAGGGGAGTGTGTTCTGAGTTCAAGCCTCTGGGTCCCTGAGCAAGACCCTTAACCCCAGCCTGCTCCCTGGGTGCCACATAGTGTCAGGCCACTGCTCCCCAAGGGGATGGGTTAAATGCAGAGAGTTCATGTGGTTGCTCTGTACATGTGAAAGTGTAATGACAATAGAAATGAAATAAAATAAAAAGCTGCATATGCATGTTTTTTTTTAAACAAAATAAGCTTACCGGTAACTGGATACACATTAACATTATGTTATATTAATATATAAATATCATGTCCTGCTCTGTTTGTGTTTTTTCACAGACAGCCTGTTCATGGAAATTAGATTTTTAGTTATTTTGATTCAAAGTAAATGTGTTAAATTGATGATGTGTTAAATAAAGAACCAATTTATAATAATTATGACTGTGTCATGTGTCATAATAATTACGGAACATATCACCATCAGCAGTGATTGCAATTACATTAAAGAAGACTTAACAAAAAATGTATTCAGTCATATGAATTGTTTGAAAATCAAATTTTCCCCACTGCTAAGAAGTTATATATATATATATATATACACACACATTTTAAATTGACAAATATTCAAATGTATTTTTATTCCACCAAACCATGTTAACTGATCACAGACAAATAAAAAATAATAATTTCGGTAGAACAAACAAGCTCACAATGCTTAAGGGAACTATTTTTCAGAATCTGATCAGAGTATATATTAGGTGTATGTATAAATAGTAGATGGAGGATGGAAGGTTTTCCATTGGAACCAGCATAGGGAGGAATCATGACTGTTTGAATCATCGATAGATGCCGTGTGTTTACTGTCGGGGAAACAAGCCCCTTTTAAAACCAATTCATCAAACTTCTACAACTATTCTGACTTCAATTTGTCAACAACCTTCTTTTCTATCAGGGGCACAGGTTTGATGCCCTTTGGAAGCTGGTTTTAGTGGTTCTAAAAGACAAAACGTGCAGAAAACTCTCCTCTAGAAGTGCAGAAACAGAACGTTTCCGGCACCTTTGAGCGCTCTTGGAGCAAAAAGAGAAAGTCCTGCAAACCAAATGTGACCTAAATGTGGAGAGAGGACACTTTCCTTTCGGTTTTAGTAAAAAATGTGACAGAAAACACTCATTTAATAAGGATTTACAGCTTTAAACACGGCGAAGAAAACACAATCGCGGAGCGATTTCAGGCGGGAGCAGGGCAGCTGGCTGGATTGTCTCTTCACGGTTCTCATTGTTGTTATAAATTCCTCCTCCTGCTCGGAGCGGGACACTTTCAGTGGAACATTAACCGGGAAACATGGCAGAAGAAGCTCCAGCAGCACCGGCAAAGGCTCCGGCCAAAGCCCCGAGGAAGAAGGCCGCTCCCAAAGCAAAGAATGACGGACCCAGCCTGTCAAAGCTCATCGTGGCCGCCGTGGCCGAGTCCAAGGAGCGGAAGGGCATTTCTGTGGCGGCGGTCAAGAAGGTCCTGGATGGGAAAGGCGTGGATCTGTCCAAGGCAAACAAGCGCATTAACTCAACCCTGACCAAACTAGTCGAGAAGGAAGTTCTGGTCCACACCAAAGGGACCGGGGCCTCCGGCTCTTTCAAGCTCGCCAAGAAGGAGCCCAAAGCAGCAAAGAAGGTGGTGAAGAAAGCCCCCGCAAAGTTCAAGAAGCCGGCTACCAAGAAGGCCACTACACCTAAAAAAGCCGCCGCTAAGAAAGCAGCAGCCAAGAAGTCCCCGAAGAAGGCCCCCGCCAAGAAAGCCGTGAAAAAGGTGAAGAGCCCCAAAAAGGCCGCCAAGAAGCCAAAGGCTGCAGCTAAAAAACCTGCAGCCAAGAAACCTGCAGCTAAAAAACCCGCAGCCAAGAAACCTGCTGCTAAGAAACCTGCAGCCAAGAAAGCCAAGAAGTAAACTACTGCTTCAACCTGCATTTAGTGCGCCAAAGGCTCTTTTCAGAGCCACCACATCTTTATCTTAAGAGGAGATTCCCATTAACTGACTTTTCTTCAGCTGGGCACCGTTTCATTCACAACACCTGTCCCATCAACCAGGAAGCAGAAATAGTTTAATAATCCCAGGGAGAAATTACTTTAGTTACATTACTCCATCTTTAATAGAGTGACTATAGGACCGGTTTGATAGAACACTATTTCATACTATATATATATATCTATATAGATATATATATATATTTTTTTTATAAAGAGCCACAAAACTATTCAGGACTAAATTCCTGTATGCCCAAGAATTCTTTTAGAACCATAATCTTAATTTCAGATTGTACGGAAGAGGATTAGGGTCACTGAAAAAAAAAAGTTTACTTTTTATGATTTTATTTCAATATAATATGGGGGAAAAGTCATAATTCTGACATTAATCTCAGAATTATTACTTATTTCTCAGAATTCTAACCATTAAGGAAGAGATCATAATAACTAAGAGGGTTAGGGCCACAGAAAAAAAAAAAAAGTTAACTGATTTTTACATTTTATTTCAGTATCATATGGGAAAAAAATCATTCTGAGATTAAAGTCAGAATTCTAAGATTAGGCAGAATTCTGGCCTTTTCCCCATGTTATACTGAAATAAAATGTAAAGACCAGTTAACTTTTTTTTCCCAGTGGCCCTAATCATCTTCCAGACGACCAGATCAATTAATCAAAAAAGCGAGGAGCTTACCATGAACTAAAATCACCTCTGAAATAAAAAGGTAGTGTTCTACAGTTATCTATTAAGCGGTCTCTCACATAAAGAGGAACTGTTCATGAAATGCAAACCAGATGAGATCCTATCAGCGGGGCTGCTGCCTCCCACATTTATTTTTAAAGATACATGTTTATCTTTACTGCTGAAAATTTGCCTGTTGTGGTACAATAAAGAGATTTTATATTCTATAAAAGGGGTAGAAATACATAAGTAAATCTAAACAATGTATGTATAAAGAATACATCTGCAAAATCCCTAATATTCCACACACAAAAAAAATCTAAGTTAAGCAAATTGTGCAAAACAGCAATAATCCCACCCTGCAGATATATTAGAATCTGTTCTTAAATTACAGCCAAACCCATTTACACAGTAACAGATAAAAACCTTTAAATAAATCAAACATTACCGCCACATATCTGACTCAATAAACATTAAAACGACTATTTTCATTCATTTCAGACGTAAACATTCACATAGCTACTTGTATTATATTGAACTGAACTTTCGGCACCAAGTATCATTTCCTCTAAACAAGGAGCAGCCTTATGCCTGGTCTCGCAATGAATCCAGAGAAAAGCAGGTCAGAGATGACTGATAAAAGGATTTTAAGGCATACCGGTACATTTTCTCAGGAAATACATTAACCTTTAACAAATATTTTAGTACGTTTACCATTTTTCGGAAGGAAAAGCGTTATTTAGGTCTTAACAAAATAAAATCGAAGACGAAAAAAAAAAGTTAACTGATTTTTAAAAGTCAGAATTCTGATTTTAATCTCAGAATTGTGGATCTTAATGTAGATGGGCACCATGAAGGCAGAGATGTGGAGCACTAAGCTTCACTGACAAAGATGTGAATAGTTTGAGGTGGCCAGTGACACATAGGTGGAAAATGACGGAATTAGGCAACTTTTTAGTTGCCCGAGGGGTCCCCTCATTGATGGAGGAGCAGAAGGTCATTAAAACAAGAGAGCTAGTCTCTAAAACAGACATGGCTATGGCTGGATGCTAACATGTTTGTTAGCTGTCAGAATTCTGACTTTTTCCCCATATTAAACTGCAATAAAATCATTTAACTTTTTTTCCCCTCCAGTGGCCCCAATCCTCTTCCGTAATATCTTGATGCGCACGCACAGACCAGATCGTGCTTCCAGGACGGATCGGGGTAGCACACTACCCGGCAAATCTCAGGAAGCTTTTGAACTGCATGTCCTGCATCGCTCTCTGTTGGCCAAGCTAGCATAATTTACACAGTCTTGAATTGGATATAAAGGTAACCATAGCTGCGTCTCAATTCGCAGCCCATATTACTGCTAAAGCATTGCAGAATACGTTTAATATTTGGGCAATTCGCAATTTTATTCTGTAATTTGACTGTATACCGACTGTGCCCTCTGCTACTCCCATGGGTGTAGCAGTATTTAAATGAAACTTATGCACCCATTACAGCTGCTCATGTGAAAGTAGGCCAACACATCCCAGGAACGGTAGCTACTCTTCAGTGATAACTATAATAACGGCAAGACAGTGTAAAAGAGAAAGGAACCGTTTGCTCTTGGATGTATGTGTGTGGCCCTTAAAAGGGCCTTTGTTTGGTTTAGTAAAGCAAGTTTACTTGGAGCTGGTGTACTTGGTGACAGCCTTGGTGCCCTCAGACACGGCGTGCTTGGCCAGCTCCCCGGGCAGCAGGAGGCGCACAGCGGTCTGGATCTCCCTGGAGGTGATGGTGGAGCGCTTGTTGTAGTGTGCCAGGCGGGAGGCCTCGGAGGCGATGCGCTCAAAGATGTCGTTAACGAAGGAGTTCATGATGCTCATGGCCTTGGAAGAGATGCCGGTGTCAGGGTGGACCTGCTTCAGCACCTTGTAGACGTAGATGGCGTAGCTCTCCTTCCTGGTCTTCCTCTTCTTCTTGCCTCCTTTGCCGGCGGTCTTGGTCACGGCTTTCTTGGAGCCCTTCTTGGGCGCAGACTTGGCGGGTTCAGGCATCCTGATGTGTTCCTAGAAACAGCAACGAATGAGCGGGAAGAGGAAGAGACCAGTGTTTTTATAGTGTTGTATGTAAAGAAGGCTGAGCTGTACCCTGCCTCTGATTGGTGCACAGGCTGGGAGCGTTAGAGCAGCTCTGGGTGTGGGGGAAGGGAGCTTATTCATGTGTGAGAGAGAGGATGGATTGATCATGAATGTTTGACCAATTTCAGCTTAGAATTAGGGACAGTTTGTACCAAAGTGAGGACATTTTTGCTGCGCCTTACTTCCTATCTCGACAGGTTTAGGACCAAGGTGTGAATTGAGTTTAGATTATGGTGAGAACAGGAAGTTAAACACAAGGCTGCAGCCAAACTCAACACCCCATGGAAGGTTATCTGGCCCTTAAGGCCCCAAAAAGCACATCATATATTATAACATTTAGTGTATATGTGTACAAATTGCCCCCTTTACACAATATTTAGATTGTGCACAGGCTACATCCATCACACTGATTTATATTGCCCTGACCTGTGGCAGGCCGTTTTAGCATTTTATTAGAAGCGCTGTCCACTCCATTGTTATATTTATTGATCTCTAAAATAAGATTCTTCCTGGTCAAAACTACATTCCCACTAGTCAGAACTGTACATATGGATATCCTAAATTACACTCTAACTTCAGGATGCCAAAAATATAATTGTAGTAAAAAGAATAAACTTTCAAATACCTAGAAATACTTACAAATTTTAAGTGGCGCTTTTGACATTTATTAGCTTGACTGAAGATGTAATCTAGATGTCTCAAATGCATTTCTTCCAAGTCGAAATGAACATTTCAGATATCTAAAATGTAATTCTTACTAGTACTAATGACATCATGTTTCCCATTCATGTGTATTGGGCTTATACTTACAGATATCTAAAATAACATTCTTCCCATCTAAAAATCTATTCCGACAAGGATAAATTCTAATTTCAGATCTCTATAATAGAGTTACTACTTGCCATATTTACTATTTTAGTTATCAAAAATTAATATAGCAGCCTAGATATTCTGATATCTAATTCTTGACATCAAAAAGATATTTCTGCCAGTTGAAATATAATTACAGATATGGACTGCTGATATGTGACTAGTTAAATTGCAAACTTCAGATATCTAAATTTTAGTAATGGCCTATCTAAAATTTTGTTTTAACATAGAAAAAGCAATGGGGGTCAATTGTAACATAAAATAAGCAGGCTGACAGTAGCATTTCTATTATAGATAGCACTAAAGCATTGCACCTAGTCACAATAATAATGTTCCTAGTCAGAATTGTATTTTAGATATCACTAATCACATTTCTACCAGTAGAAATGACATTTTAAATACTCTGGAATGAAATTTGTATTAGTAAGAACTACATTTCAGATATCTACAAATCTTTAATTATTTTAAGGGGCCTTTTTAACATATATTTGTTTGTATTTCAGTATCTTTAATAGTATTCCTTCTATCTAAAATAAACATTCTGGATGTCTGAAAATTAAGTTCACGTCTACATAATCCAATTATTACTGGTCATGATTTTGATTTCAGATATCAAGAATCAATGACTAAAAATAGCATATATTACATAGTTTAATGTAGTTTACACATTTCTAACTGAAATAGAGTCTTTTCACACATTGTGCCAAGTTGTTATAAGATCAATTCCTGTTTATAGGGAGCAAAACTATTCACTGCTTGAGAGATTAAGTCTGGGATATCAGAATATTGTTCAGAAAACTGGTTCTGAACTGTAATCTGCTTCACATTCAACGTAGAGGGTTAAACTGTTAAGATAAGAGAACTTTATTGGAGATATTTACTCATAAACAGTAGGTGCACACATGAGGGAAAGGTGAATGAAAAATATACTATATACAGGTGATAAAAAGTTATGAAAATCTCACTATACTGCATAGGTATTGTAGTTTATAGGATTACACACAGGGTATCTAATTTAAACTCCCGTTTCTGAAACGAATAATCCAATGACAAGAAGATACAGACATCACTGGTTTTTAGAAAGTCAAAAACGACCTGGAGAAATTATTTGTTTTGAGCTCCTGCATTAATAATACTATTTTATAGAGGAATAAGTGTCTGAAAATGTATATGCCTGTATAAATACATCTAAGAATGTGGAACATGTCTCAAGAAAGATGGGTGGCTCTTAAAAGAGCCGTTGTTTTGCTGGTTGAAGCGGTTTGAATTTAACCTCCGAAGCCGTAGAGAGTGCGGCCCTGCCTCTTCAGAGCATACACCACATCCATGGCGGTCACAGTCTTCCTCTTAGCGTGCTCGGTGTAGGTGACTGCGTCACGGATGACGTTCTCCAAGAAGACCTTGAGGACACCGCGGGTCTCCTCGTAGATGAGACCGGAGATGCGCTTGACGCCACCGCGGCGAGCCAAACGGCGGATGGCGGGTTTAGTGATTCCCTGGATGTTATCACGGAGAACTTTGCGGTGACGCTTAGCGCCTCCTTTCCCCAGTCCTTTGCCTCCCTTGCCTCGTCCGCTCATGTTGCTTCTGCTGAGTTCACAGAAAGAATAAACTCAACTCTGCTAAGAGCCTCCCTATTTCAACACATCTCACGGACGTAAGAGGGGACTGCTAACCCTCTCTTCCGCCTTTAGGGTTGTGACCACATCCGCTTTTAAAACAAGTGGAAATACACTGAGAAACTCACAAAATAAACGTATAATTACATATTTTATTCCAGATAATATAAAATCAAAGCGTTTAGTCAATTTTACCACTGAATGGAAATTATTGTAGGTGCCTACAAATACACAAAATCCTTATAAATGCATTTGGTCAAAGAGAAAGCTAAAACCATCCTTGGTTTTAATCAAGTTAGAACCATCAGATTTATAAAGAAATCTGTTGCATTGAGTCATTTAAAACATTTTAGGCTCATATGGGTTGAGTTATTTGATGTCTGGTCAGGTTTAGTAATAAAGTCAGTGCTTTATGTAGGGATGCTACTTTTCTTTTTTAGGGATATAATTATAGAGATTTGAATCAGATTGACAGTTTAGGGCGAATGTATACAATCACGTGTCTCTTTTGTCTGAACTAGATGGAGTCATGTCAAGCAATCATTCCACCATGATCCACCAAAAAAATAAAATACATATTTAAAGTTAACACTAAGATTTGAGTTTATCATTCAAAAATTTACTCGGATGGGTTTGAATCATTTAGTGTCTGGTCAGGTTTAGTAAATACTCTATAGCGTTCTCGAGATTTGGTTAAAAATTAAAGTAAAAAATTAAATAAAAAATAACAACATCCACACGTATTTACATTATTCTGCACCCTTATGTAAATACGTGTGGATGTTATGTTATTTTTACTTTTCTTCTCATTGTGTTGTGACTGTCACTTTGTGTAAAGCTGCTGCTACACTGCAATTTCCCAGCTTGGGATAAATAAAGTACATCTATCTATCTAATTTCATTTATTTTAACAAACAAGTCTTATGGCTAGAAAACCTTTCATCCCCCAGACCGAGAGTAAGATATGTCATTTTAACAGAAATGTGCTCTTGAGAAAGATGTGGGTGGCTCTTAAAAGAGCCGTTGTGTTTGATGTGAAGTCCAGCAGTTTTACTTCTTTGCGGGCTTCTCGGTTTTCTTGGGCAGCAGCACAGCCTGGATGTTGGGGAGAACTCCACCCTGAGCGATGGTGACTCCACCAAGCAGCTTGTTGAGCTCCTCGTCGTTGCGGACAGCCAGCTGCAGATGGCGGGGGATGATCCTGGTTTTCTTGTTATCACGGGCAGCGTTTCCAGCCAGCTCCAGGATCTCAGCAGTGAGATACTCGAGAACTGCGGCCAGATACACTGGAGCTCCGGCGCCGACGCGTTCAGCGTAGTTGCCCTTCCTCAGCAGCCTGTGAACACGGCCGACGGGAAACTGCAGCCCGGCTCTGGATGAGCGGGTCTTGGCCTTAGCCCTGGCTTTGCCTCCAGTCTTTCCACGTCCAGACATTGTTTCTGTTCAGGAATTACTTCACAAGTGTCTGAACAGCGACGCATCGGGAGTTTATATAAGCCTATCGTAGCTCAAAAGCTCACTGATTGGTCGCATACAACAACAAACCCCTTCGTCCAATCAAAACATCTGACGTTTAAGCGCGAAACTACGTGCCACATAATTCATCCAGGATGCTTTTAGTTTATTCATTTTCCTTAAAAAAACCCTAAAATGTTGGAACTGTAACTATACAGTCATTTGTTTACATCATTTTTTTCATCACAATGGTTTTATCACTGCTGCTTTCCTGCATTTTAAAAATGAAATGGTCTAAAGATCTATACTTCTCAGAATTTCTTTCTGTATATACTTGCGTCTCTTTACTTTTGTTAAATTTTATGTCTTTCCAGCTATTTTTTAGCATTTAAAATCAAAAGAAAAATCTGATAGTTATCACACTTTGAGTTAAAAAACTATATTTATATTCATATTTGATGTGTACATTTTTCTGTATTAAATAGCTATGTAGGGAAAAGTTGTTTTTAAATCCAAGGCCAATTTAACATTTTTTGTGAAGATATAATTACAAAATAGGAAGATCCTCTATTTTACATTTGCATTTGGGGTATTATATAGGGTGCGGAATAAAATGCTTTATCTAATTCTGGGGCCATCAACCTTTTTAAGGCTTAGAGCTACTTCATGGGTCCTCAAAGGGCTTAAAATACTGAACTAAGAATTGGAGGAGTCAGCGTTCACCTAAACTTCATAAATGCTAAAAATATTTTTGTTCTTTCTTTTAATTTCAATTTTTTTTTAAATATTGTAATTTTGCAAACTCTATAAATGCTTAAATTCTCTATATGATATGATTAATACGATGACATGCTCTATAGATGATTAAAACCCCATGTAAAATAAATTCAGGAGAGTTAAGCAAACCAGAAGCATAGCACATTGTTTTAAAAGATTCAATTCAGTTTAGTTTATTTATATAGCGCCGATTCACAACAGGTCATCTCAAGACTCTTTCCAGTTCAACCAGATCATCCAGTCAGATTGATTCAAAGTTTTCTATCTAAGGAAAACCAGCTGATTGCATCGACTCATTGACTCTTCAGCAATCCCTCACACTAAGCATGCTTGTAGCGACAGTGGAGAGGAAAAGCTCCCTTTTAACAGGAAGAAACCGCCAGCAGAACCAGGCTCAGTGTGAGCGGCCATCTTGTGAGGCTACTAAAGCTACTATGAGAAAAAGTAGAGAGAGCAGAACCTTAGAGAATGAACTAATAAAGACTGCAGAGTGGGAGATGCATTTTGTGTCATCATATGGATTTAACTTGTAACTTGGCAGAACAGATCTGTACCAAAAATAAATGGGGAGTAGATTATCAGTAAATATCCGTCACGTCTTTGATTTTTAGTAAGTAACTGCCCCATAATTCCTTAAATATTGCTCATATACATAAATAAACTTTACATTTCACAGTTTCAAGATTTTATTTTTGTCCGTTAAATTTCGTGAGAGAACAATACTATTCCTAGAGATCACCCAAAGGAATATGATTGATATTTTATTTTTATTGTAGCCGTTAAAACCAGTAAATCACATAAATTCCGAGGTTTTTCTTTAACGCTGCAGTCACCGGTGAGTTTTATTTTGAAAATCCATAACGGAAGCTGCTTCCATGAGGAGTTTCCGGTGATGTTTGTTATCAAATAAGATATGGAATCCGCCGAAAATCTTCCCGTTATCACATCAAGTGAGTGTTTTTCTGTTTTACCTCGATGTTACGCTGCAGTTGGGAGGCAAAGAACTGCTCTGATAAACCAACTAAAACTAATGAGGTTAGATAAAAGTCTCCATTGTTGTTACGCAGCTAGATTAAACGTTGCTAACGTCCTGAAACGAAACTAAGACCAGTTTGATGTCTGCCATAGTTTTCTGTCGTGTTTACTTTAATAACAACTGTTTTTCTCTAAGAGAAGGTCATTAAACAATCGGAGGTAAATAGGTCAAGTTTTAGTTTTACTGTTTCCTGTAAATTTAACGTTCATAATCGCCAACAGGAAGTTAAATGCGTGGAAAAAAAGAGCAAAACTAAACGAAGATGACTCATCAGTAATGAAAGATGATCCTGAACTACAATCAAATCCAGAACAGTTAGGTGAAAATAATATAACAGATGTTCCTTGACCCTCCTGATATGTGTTTGGGGGGAGGGGGGTATTCTTAATTTATTTTAGTTTTTTCTCTTTAGCTCTTTAATATTGAGTGTAATGAACATCACAGCATACTGTTGCGTTTAGTCCAATTCAGTTTATTTCTATGGCGTCAATTCAACCAGATCATCCAGTCAGATTGATTCAAAGTTTTCTATCTAAGGAAAACCAGCTGATTGCATCGACTCATTGACTCTTCAGCAATCCCTCACACTAAGCATGCTTGTAGCAACAGTGGAGAGGAAAAACTCCCTTTGAACAGGAAGAAACCTCCAGCAGAACCAGGCTCAGTGTGAGCGGCCATCTGCTGAGGCCCACTGGGGTTCAAGGAGACAGAAGCAGACATAGAAAAAGAAGCATAGATACAAAAGGCAACTGTCAACCAGCTCCACAGGCGGCCCCGTCCAGGAAACACACAGCCAGGCAGACGAGCTCCGAGCCAGCTCCCATGTCAGAGGATGAAGAGAGCACATCCAGTTAGTCACAGTCAGAGAAACAGGACTACACTGGAAAACAGGCCAAGCTCCAACATCTAGAAACAAAGGTGTTGATGGCAGCAGCACAGCTGATATTTCTCTCCAGGATGAAGTCACAGCCAAACAGGAACAGACCAGATGAAGCTACTATGAGAAAAAGCAGAGAGAGCAGAACGTTAGAGATTGAACTAACAGATTCTGCAGAGTGGGAGAATAGAGATAGAATGAAGCATCATTCAAGTTGATGAACAGTTTGTTTATCTATAGTGGGACTATTCCTGAATTCCTGCTGGTATGAAGTTGATCAGGATGAGTTTCTACATCTTACTGCAGACTCAGCATATCTGTTCTGGTTTAGAGCCTCTTTCCAGATTGATTTAAATACTTTTTAGTCACTCTAGAAGTTTGCTTTGACTTTTATGTCACTTTCTTTAAATCTGTTCTTAACTCTAATCTTTTCACTTTGACCTCTGGCTTATTCTGTGGTTTTAAAGGTGTTTTAATAAATAATTTAACATGCAAACAATATTAAACCAGACTTACAGATTATTTCTAAATATTCTGAATTTCAGGTTTCCAACACTAATCTTCCTGCTTGTATTTTAAGCTTTGAATTGTCGTTTCTGCAGCTTTTAAAGCATATTACTGTTGTAAATTCTTTAATGACTTCCTAGCATAGAGCACAAGCGTTTGTTTGACTACACCTGAGTGAAGCTTGGTGTCGGTCTGTGCCAGCACTGATTTAGCAGCGTCGCTTTCTGTTTGTGTGGACTGAGGTCATGTGAGGTCGGCTTTCTCTCTTCTGCAGCATGAAGCTGCGGGTTCGGATCAACCGGCAGACCAGTAGGGTGGAGTTACCGGGGGAGGAACCCACTTTGCAGGAACTCTCAGACCTCATCAAGCAGACGCTGCTGTCCTGCAATGGACACAGGTCAGACTGTTCTTATTCCAGTTACAGACGCCTACAGTTGAACCTCTCTGGGCTGATTTAAATCTTTCTGTTCTACTGTCTCCATTCAGTGCCGACACAGAGTTCAGTTTGTCTCTGAACGGCTCAGAGCTCCTCTCAGAATCCGATCAGACTCTCTCAGCGTGTGGAATCGTTTCTGGGGATCTGATCACCGTGCTTCTGCCGCAGCCTCCTCCAGGCGCCATGGCAACCTCAGAAAAGAACACAATGGCAGACAGACAGGAGGCTGCCAGCAGGACCACCAGCCAGGTGAGATTTAATCTGTTGGGTACGTGGAGAGCCACCCTCTGGTGTCAACCCAGATAAGACTCCCTCCTGCATGTTTAATACCGGTTTAACATGAGAAAGCCCACATATGATTACAGTTTATAAACAGCCTGGGAAATATGAGGGAAACCACGGCAACCTCGTCTAGGAGGGATTTTGTTACATGTCTTCCAGTCTTTCAGGTTCTGTCTTTTTCTTTTCCAGCTGAAAATCAACTGTAAATACAGCAGCCTGAAGTGACCCATATGCAACCTGTATCTGATTTTATTTCATGACAGTCTGAACAACACAGATCCAATTTTTCTCCAATGCGACCCATATTTAGTCCTAAATCCGATATGTATCGGATCTTTTTTCAAATGCGACGTTTGTCTGAACGGCCAGGTCGCATTCATCCGAACTGTGGAATGACTGAAAGGTCGCTATGCAGCATCTTTCTACGCAGAAGCAGGGAGAAGAACAACAACTATTGCAGACAATAATGTGGAGAGAAGTTTTCCTTCTCAATCTCCTCGAAAAGATTTAGTTATTTATGCGCCTGATCCAGTTGGAAAAGAAATGAGAGATTATGCTGATGAAGATTCTCAGTCATCCAGGTCATAGTCATTCTGTAAAAGTTTAAAAAACAATCCTCTGGACTTGGTTTCCAAGATTTAAAGACGTTTTGCTTCCTCTCCAGGAAGCTTTCTCAATTCACATTTGACTCAAACTCACTGCGGATCCAGACATTTGAATTGAATTGAGAAAGCTTCCTGGAGAGGAAGCAAAACCTCTTTAAATCTTGGAAACCAAGTCTAGTGGATTGTTTTTTAAACTTTTACAAAATGAAAGATAAATAGATGTGCCCCAGTGCCACCATTTTTGGGGAAAAAGTGGATTCGGCGATATATTGTGATTTTTTAGCTTGCCAGTCCCTTATATCAATCTGAAGGCTACCTCTGCACCGCCATTTTAGAAGATGGAGGCGTGAAGCCCTTTTGCTGTGCAGATTAGCACCATTCCTCTAGATGAGGCAGCAACAGTGGAAGACTGACGTAAAACTCCAGACAACATGGATTCTGATTAACATAAACAGCACTTGCCTTTCTATCTTTACATTTCATTTTGATAGCTGGGAAATACATTGCAATATATAGTGATATTACATTATCTTGATAATATCCGCACCATGACCCAAATATCGTGACATGTATCATGTATCGTATCACAACACCCATGCCGATACTCACCCCTAGTGAACCCAGAGCACGCTCAAGTTGCATATATTTGGAAATGTGAACGACCACGCAAAACAATCTGATTTTACAAAAAAAATGGGTTTTGAGCATTAAGGCCTGCGGTTTGAACGTAGCGTTTGGCTGCATGTTGAGGTTAATCATCTTCCATCAGAATGTGATCCAGATTGGCTCTGATTATTTCTCCAATTTTCCTCCTTCAGTTATTTGGAGTCACTAAAGAATGATGGTAAACAACGTCCATCTTCTGGACCTGATCAGCATCTGTCCGGCTAAATTGGGGCTATACAGTTTGTTAGAAAAAATTATAGTTAAACCTGAGAAAATTTTTTCTTCAAAAGAAAAACATTTAAACATGAAAGAAAAGTTTTGTGTCGCAGTGAATTTGTGGCAGATATTTTTGATTTATGACCAATGTTAAAGCGTAGTCTGCGCTATGTTATTTCACACCACGCCAGAGGGCCAATCATGAGCTAGATGTGGGTCTAGATACGGCCGAGGCGGTGAGGAAGTGGGGGCAAGTTTGTATGACAATTGAGGGACATGAGGGCCAAAAAGAGCGGGGATCCAGGTGGAAAAAGGGTCCCAGCGTTCTCGCGCACCTCGCTCTGCTAGCTGCTCCATCTTCACCAGTCGTTTTCCACAATGGCGGTGAGACAAACAAAACTAGCTGATAAGGTACTAAACAGGAAATACGAATAGTGTAGAGTGGATGTAAATTTGACCAATCAGAGACCTCCTGTCTGCAGCACTGTTTGCAGTCACCTACAATTTTGGAAAAGTGCAGCGGAGCATCTGCCAAAAGGGGCGGGGCATATCTGCGTTGACTGCGGCACACGCAGACCACCTGGTTTCTGAGCATAAATCAGCTTTAAATTGGAGCCATGCAATTTGTTCAAATAATTATAGTAAACCTGAGAAAATAGCTTCAATCACCTGAAAAAAAAAAAACGTTTATACCTGCCAAATAAAAGGTTATTTGCAAGAAAATTATTATAATTATTTTTTCAGAAGGAATTTGTTCAGTTTGCAACTTGGACCTGGAAATGTCTTTAAGAGATCATTAATATTCTGTGAAAGCAAACTTTTTTTAGGTATCTATTTCTCTCTTTAGTATGAGAGAAATATTTTTTTGTTTGTTTTTTAAGAACAAACTATAGTTTTTTTTTTTTTTTTTTTTTTATAGACCGAATTTATCTCCATAATCATCCTAGACAAAACTAAAACAACTTTAAGGATACTTTAAAGTATCCTTAAACACTCTCTCCTTCCTCCGGCCCACTTATAGTCCAGCTAGCATTCACAGTGTAGTGAAACTAGTATTTATAATAAACTATAAAGTGCCATAAAGTTTGGGGTGTTGTAGAAACCCAGAGTTATAAATTTCAGTCTAATCTGGCCTGGCTGTATTCATACAGTTTTTTATTTGTCAAAATGAAGTTCATCTCCTCTGAGGCTTCATGGAGCGAGGATGTTCTTTCCACCTCCAGTTTTTTTTTTTTTTCAGAGTCCTGACTAATAACGTCTCGGTTTTCACCTGAAACTGCAGTAAAATAAAAGCTGTCGTTCGGTGAAGCATTCAGGTGAATTATAATCAATAGAAAGTCTGGAATCATCAGTTTTAGGTTCCGGAAAAACAGAAAATCTTTCCTTTTCATCCGTCTGCATCATCCTTTTCTTTTTTGAATTATTATTCTTTTTATAAAAAAAAAATAGAACAGAAATGTTTTGCACACTTTCAGTTGGACGGATAACTTTGAATGAAGAAGACATTCAGACTGAACCAGATTCAGCTTATTTTTTTCTCCATTTATTGGTGTTTTTTTTTTTCCTGTTCAGCCACATAACAGCAGCAGTGGGGTCAGCACCTCTGCACCGCCGACGGCCCCCCCGCAGACCTCTGACCTGCAGGACTTTGAAGCGGCCCCTCCAGTCTGGGAGCCCATGCTGTGCAGCGAGGCAGAGGACGGTGAAGCCCCTCTCTCTCTGGAGCTCCTCTACCACACGGCTCAGGTCGCCTGCCCTAACGACGCCATCATGGTGGCGGCGCATCTCCTCATGCTGGAGACTGGGTTCACTCCTCAGGTGAGGCAGTGGTACAAGGATGTTTCTGTTTACCTCTGCAGGTGAATCACGCCTCATTTCTGTGTCCAGGGCAGCGAGCTGAAGCCTGGGGAGATGCCTGCAGGATGGAGGTCTGCAGGTGGAGTTTATAGGCTGCAGTACAATCATCATCTATGTGGAGACAGTCTTGTGTCGGTGGTGGCTGTGGGAATGGGTCCGCTGCTCGTCATTAATGGTAAATTCTGTCTCCTCCTTCAGTTCATAGGAATCTGTTTTAATTAACCGTTTATACCGACTCAGTTTTTTAAATCTGTCTCTTTTTACCTTTTCTTTGGTTGCAGTTGTTCTAAAAGTGACTGAAAGCATCGACACAACTAGAAAGCTACAGCTGAACCCATCCAGCTACGTGACTCACGAGTGGCCAGGTACAGCTGTGATTGGCTGCTTTAAAGAGACCACAGTCCAACCGTCTGTCTGTGTTTAACCCTCTCTGCTTTCGCCCAGGAGAAAACGCAGCTGCGGCCTTCAAGGATCTAAAGAAACTTTCCCGCATCCTCAAAGACCAGCTGGCGTACCCGCTGATCGCTGCAGCTAGAGAAGGTAACTGAGTCAAAAACCAAAACTGAACTCTGGATTTACCGAAGCTAAGCAGTCGGAGAGGAGTCAGGGTGCAAAGTGACGGTGGTGGTGTGTTTTCTCAGCCATGGCTCTGCCAGTGGTGTTCGGTCTGCAGGCTCTCCCTCCTGAGCTCCTCCTCCGCGTCCTGCGGCTGTTGGACGTCCGCTCCGTGGTGAGACTGTCAGTGGTCAGCTGGCAGTTCAACGCCGCCGCGTCAGACTCCACGCTCTGGAAACACCTTTACCTTCGGGACTTCTCAAGTAAGCGCCCATAAACCAGAACCTTCAACTAAAACTGTAGTTTTTTAGCTCTTTAGTTGGGAATAAAACTCCAGAGTTGTTTCCTTCTGAAAAACGTCTGTTTGTCCAACAATTATTATAAATCATAGCAGAGTTTATAGTTTCAGTTTTAAAGTTTTGATAGATAAGATGATGGTTGGTTTTAAATCCTACCTCAGATACTTTAAGGAAGGAATAGGAATTAACTTCATTTTCTCTTAAAAAATTTAAGGCTAAAATAAAAAAAAAGATAATTTTTTAATCCCTTATTCTCTTTTATAAAATGTATTTATTTTCTGAATCAAAACATCAATAAAAGTAGATTTTGCTAAATTATTTTATGTGCAAGAACAGCTTTCAGCCATTATTTGTTTTGATTTTATTGTTTTTCTATGTTTTTATTTTCAGATCCAGATCGCAGCCGATCCAGAGACACCGACTGGAAACTGGTGAGAAATTCTGCAGCAACATTTCTTCACACTGACATTTAAACCCTTTAATTCTTCGGACATTTTAATCCTATATTGGGAGTTTTGTTGAAGTGTGAAAAGCTTGGAGGAGAAATTATAGAGTCTATTTGTTCAAATCTCACCTTTCAAACTATTTAATTTCCATATCTTTACAGGTTAAAATACTTTTATGAATTGCTCTCATTAATGTCTAATGTTTTTTCTCTCCATTGCAATTATATAATTTAGTCTCGTCATTATATCAGCTGTATAATTATTGAATCAAAATGTTAAATAACTTCAGCTTTTAAGAAACTTTATATTCATTGATACAGAAAGATTTAATTTAAAAATAAAATTTATGCTATATTACTTTTGATATTTTTATCTTTAGTATGGCCTATAACTGATTTCATATTCATAGGTGTTTTCAAATTGATAGCCACCAGGGGGCACTAGAGGGAACCTCAGAAAAGATTTTGCAAAAAATGACATTATTTTATAGATAATTTAATACTTTTTAAATAGTTAATATATAGCTTAAAAAATATTATATTTATATGACAAACTAAGGGGATTTCAATCTGAACTGTTAGTCATTCAGATAAAAAATAGACATGATCAGACAGACATTAAGCCCAGACCATCCCACCCCATCTAAACGCACCTTTAAAAGAGATTTGCTGCATTTGTTTTCTTCTTAAAGTCAAGACTTTGTTGGAAAGTTTTTAACTGTGAGGGAGTCTGATACACCGCTGAGAACATGACCTTATCCTAACGTTCGCTGGTATTTTTATGATAAACAACTGATGTATATTGAACAGTAAGAAAAAAAATTTCTAGAAGTAGATTTTTCTATGCTGGTGAAGATTCTAAGTCATCCAGGTCACAGTCATTCCTAAAAAAGGTTAAAAAACAATCCACTGGTTTTATAAAGTAACCCATCAAACCCTTGTTTCTGTATTGAAAACATCCAAATTAAACCGATTAACAGGTCCACCCCTTTGGAATGGGGGTCGTTTAGCTTCTTGTTTTAGCCTGCAAGGCCCCATACCTGTCTGTCTCTGAAAGGGGGGTCGTTAAAGGGAACTGTTTACGTGGCTGAATAGGCGAGGTCTTCTGCTCTCATGTACAGGGGTTGGGGTAACGATCATGGCGGGAAGGAATCAACACAAAGGGATTTTTCTACGTAGAACTGAGTTGAGTTCTACTTTATCAATCTGGGATGGCTGCCGTTCAGTCTGTCCGTGAAAAGGAGGGACGTTTAATACAGGACTTCCAGCTGATTGGGTGACGTGACAGCAAGTACTCGCCTTCCATAATACAATTTCAGCCAGTGGTAACTGGCAATCTTGATGTTTCAGACTTAATAGCTTCTGCAACTTGGTTATAAGAGTCACTAACGGAGACACGAGGATCACAATAGGATTCATCTGCAGCTTCTTGAGTGTTTTCATAACTGATGGAGTAGGTTGATAGATCAAACTTTTTAAAAATTCTGTTTGAAGAAAAGCACAGACAGCTTCGACATCTACAAATGCACAAAATGCTTCTATTTGGTCCCTTTTTTGAATGAGAAATTGTCGCTATTTTAGCTAATACCGAGTACATTGCTGTATCAACTAAGGGTCCTCCAGCGTAGCCATGTTTGTAATACCCTGGCAAGGCCCTTCTGATTGTTGTCATTCCTATATGTCCCGCCCCAATAAACACTGCTGGCATTTTATTTCATCCAACTCACTGGTTGTTTCCAGACGGACGTGTTAGCGGGAGTCTTGTTATGAGACTGAAAAGTCAGATCCCGTGACGATCCAGCTTGCAGCGCAGGGTTATGCAGTAGAAGGTCTCAGGCAGGAATTTGGAGCTGCTTTGGGGCCTTGGATAGAAATGTTTGGAAACCCCAGATATATTAAAAAGTTAAGACCTGAAAGTAAAGATTGGCTATTAATATCTGATATCGAGCTAAGTTTTAATTCTCCATTTATGAATGATTTGTTTCTGTTGATCTTTTCCCTTTGTATCCTTCCAGCTTTATAAAAAGTCCTATAAGCTCCGCTCGGAGCTCCGACATCCCGTTCGTCCCTACTCCCTGCCTCCCTACCCTTTACGTGACATCATCACTCCAGTGCCCCGCCCCCTCTTCCCTCCGCTGCCAGGGATCATCGGGGGCGACTACGACCAGAGACCCAACCTGCCGCCTAACCTGCTGCCCCACCCTCGCTACGACCCCATCGGGCCGCTTCTGGATCCCGCCGTGCGACGACCTCGTTTGGATTTCCGCAGACCAGCAGGAGGAAGACCGTCAGACATCCGCAGAGGATTCATCTGAGTGTTGATCCCAGAACTGCACAATAAGTAAATAAAAAAGGAAGAGTGAAGAACAAAATGATTTTATTTAATTCTCACCTTTAGCTCTTAACTAAAAAAGCCTAAAAATACTTTGAAATGTGTTTCTAAAAGAAGCAACGCTCATCTGAAACTTAAACCACTAATCTCTGACTGTCTGTAAATAACAGAAGAATAATTAGTTAAACACCTTGATGAAAATGAATCCAGGTGGAAGATGTTATTAAAGTTTTCAACCCTTATGTTTCCTCCAGATGATTGAGACAACAAACTAACTCAGATGGGACCGTTTCACAGGCTTAAATTTTGTTTATCACCTCAGTTAAACAAATTAAACTGAATCAAAATGTGTTTTTCTGGCAGTTTATGTGAATAAAAAGTATTCTTACTTTTTGCCACCTAAAAACTCAAAGATTTATATTTTTGTATTCAGGTAAAACATTTTAATTTGTTATATATTAAAGTTCCAAGATAATAATGTTTAAGTTTGACAGCTTAAATAAAATGGATAAATCCAGGTCTATTCTATAATATCTTCAAATAAAATCTGCAAATTTATGGGTGAAAACATTATTGTTTAATTCTAGGATTTTTTTTAAATAAGTGTGGTTTGTATAAAATCCATAAATTTTCATGAATAATATGGATTCATCCATTAAATTTCCACTTAGGGGAACATGGATCATGGAAGTAACAGATCCAAGAAGGAAACCCATGGAAACGATGCATTCCAGTTCCTCCAAGGATATCCCCAGGGGTTAACAGGAATAATTTGAGGGATTTTTTGGTGTTTCTTAGAAAAAATAATTTTAGGAGGTATATAAACCTATGCAGCTCTGCTGATCATCGCAGACAAAGCTTTGAACCATATATTTACCGCTCAGTCTTTTATTAACATACTCTTCTTCACATCATCCAGTCAGATTGATTCAAAGTTTTCTATCTAAGGGAAACCAGCTGATTGCATCGACTCATTGACTCTTCAGCAATCCCTCACACTAAGCATGCTTGTAGCGACAGTGGAGAGGAAAAACTCCCTTTGAACAGGAAGAAACCTCCAGCAGAACCAGGCTCAGTGTGAGCGGCCATCTGCTGAGGCCCACTGGGGTTCAAGGAGACAGAAGCAGACATAGAAAAAGAAGCATAGATACAAAAGGCAACTGTCAACCAGCTCCACAGGCGGCCCCGTCCAGGAAACACACAGCCAGGCAGACGAGCTCCGAGCCAGCTCCCATGTCAGAGGATGAAGAGAGCACATCCAGTTAGTCACAGTCAGAGAAACAGGACTACACTGGAAAACAGGCCAAGCTCCAACATCTAGAAACAAAGGTGTTGATGGCAGCAGCACAGCTGATATTTCTCTCCAGGATGGAGTCACAGCCAAACAGGAACAGACCAGATGAAGCTACTATGAGAAAAAGCAGAGAGAGCAGAACGTTAGAGATTGAACTAACAGATTCTGCAGAGTGGGAGAATAGAGATAGAATGAAGCAGAATGATGAAATAAATTAGTGTTTAAATATTAAGTAGTTGTGTGAACTATGACCAGGTTTCACCTTTATCAAGTATGTTTTCCCTTTTTTTATCTGTTTTTCTGTTGCATACCATTTCTCTACCATCAATATTCAGCCATATCTGTTAATTTCAAGATTTCTAAATGCTTAGCTTTGAAATATAAATGAATTAATAATTTTCCCTTTAGAGGCCATTTGTATATAAAGTTCAATCTACTTCTGATCTTACGTTTTTCAGCTGGATTAAATATGTATTATGTATAAAAATGTAATCTATTCAATCTTTTGATTTTATTTGAATATAGAGGGTTTTACGTGAGATGTGAGAACGAGCTGCAAATAAAAAAAAATCTTGGTTTTCTTCTCTCGTGTGTGTCAGGAGACCATTACAAATGACGTCATCTTTTGTCTGGAAAATAAGGGTGGGCTCGTTTAAAACCAGGGCGTTTGAGCATTAGGAGAAGTGCAATTCAGGCGGGCGGGGTTTGTCGTGGTGCGACGTCGAGCTTCGTCAGTGGTCATAAAATGTGATTCCTTTCAACTGACAGATCTACCTCTGGCATGTAAACAGCTTCCAGGTAACCTACTGACTGAATTAATGTTTTCAAAGTTCACAGTAGCCGTTTTTTTTAACGGGCGGGGAGGGAATGCGGTTAGCTTATAACCGGACCTTTAGTGCTAACTGCTTTCTAATCTTTGAATTCGGTTTACAACGTTTTAAATCAGGACTCTTCTTGGTTTAAATTAATCCTCAAATTAAACCCGAACATGTCAACTTGTCCGCCATATTGGAAAAGGAAACGAACCGTTAGGAGGAGGGAGTTCAAGGGCTCTAAAAATATTCAAACTGGGTTACAGTTTAAATTTAACAAGAAAGTATGTTGCTTTCTGGTTAAAGTACATGAATATAAATCTCTAGTGACTTTAGGGTTAAATTAGTTAGCAATAATCCACATTTCTGTTCTTAAAATAAAGTTTTTATTATGCCCCGCTTTCAATACACAAACTTTCACTCATAAAGTATAAAATATCCGTTTAATGATCATAGATTAAAGTCTATTTTAAGTTATATTAATAGCAGTTGCCCTGTGTAGAACTTGTGTTTAGAAAACTAAAGAAGTTTGGAGCTCATGCTCTAAATGTAACACTACTGCTTGCTTAATCATCAATTTGCTTCTAAATACATTATCTTTCAAATCTCTTTTTGCTAACAGTTATCGTTTTGATTGTGAAAAGCTTTGTATAAAACTATACCAACAGTCTTATATTAAAGGAATAATCTTAAATTGCACATATTCACTTTTATGTTTAATATCCAGAATTTTGGCAATACTTTTTTTTTTTTTTTTTTAACGCCCTCAACCAGCTGCACTAAGAATTTTTCTTGCTCTAATTTGGCACTGCTGCGTTTTTCATGTTAATTTATTTTCTTTTTATTCAGGCGGGCCCTTTGCTTCTATGTCCCCAGATTGAACCGGTGACAGACTCTTCTGTCACACCTCTGCGTGTTTCTGGTTCAGGTTGGGTTTCTGCGCGTCTGAGCTGCGCTGTCTCTTTAATGCCTTCATGTTACCGGAAGTGTTCGGGGTGTTTCCAGCTGATCGGAAAAACAGAAGTAGCAGGATCTCCCTCTGTGGACGGATCTGTCTGCGATAACCCTGCAGCTGAGGCGGAGCGCTCCGGTCCTGACCTCCAGCGGCCCCTTCCCGCTCTAAAAGCCATCTTCTCCGGAGGTGATTTGAAGAAGAACCGGGGGATATCCCCGGTGTCCCTCTCTCCCTCTCTGGTTCTCCTTCAAGCCGTCACTAAGCTGCCGTGAACCGGTACCGTGGGCTGCTTTTAGCCCGGACTGTCATGATCCCAGCTCGGAGATGGCGTCCTTCCCCGGTTTGTGTAAGGCTGTCGGGCCCGCGGAGGAGGAGAACGGAGAGCTGGACGGCTCCCTGCAGCAGATGCTGAAGGCCATCGCCGACGAAAGGAACCGACTGAACAGTCGGCAGGAGATCAGCGGACTGGGTGAGTGTGACACCCTGAAGTCCTGGGGCTCTGAGTGGGAGCAGGTAGCAGCCAGGCAGCCGCTTAACATCCTGACTTATTTCTCTCATGAAGCAGCCAGGAAGTCTGCTAATCCTATAATATGTGTCACTTTCTCTATGACAGTTTATAATTAGGGGGGTCAAAATAAAGAAAATATTTAACCAGTTAAGGTCCAGAGATATTGTTAATTATAATCTGTTACTTTAAAAATTATTACTGAAATAAAAAGCAGGTTTTTTTATGCGTTCATGTTATACATTAAATTAAAAATAAAATATCTAAAGTGTTTTTTGAAATAGAGAACAATCGTTCAGTTTGGTTTATAGATAATTTCCTGATTCCCATATTTTCTCAAACCCCTGAACTGATGGTTTGTTATTTTCTTTCTTTTTTCTGTCTTAATGTTGGCAGTGGGCTTTAGGCTGCCCTGCAAGGCTTTAAACCTGGGTTTAACCGGAGACTAAGCCATTCTCAAGCACATATCAAGGAGCTCATTTTGAGCCTGGATCCAGATTTATTGTTGATTCTGTTCATGGTGGAGAATCCTGCTTCACAGCAGCAGGTTGAGCCAAACATCCTCTAAATGTGCAGGGTCATCTTTGAGCACGCCATTTCACTTTTCTTTCACCAGTTCACCGCAGTTCTTCCAGCAGTCCACACTTTCTCTGCTCTCTTTTTCTCATGGTCTTCTCCTTCTTTCCCATCGCCCGGCTTGCCACAGGTTTGCCTGCTGTGTCTAAAAGTAGCAGCAGCAGCAACCCAGACTGACAGCTCATTGGCTCATTTGGATCACGTGCAGCCTGGAGCCGGACGCTCCCCAGGGCTTTACCGTATTAACAGGAGAAGAGGCGCAAGTGAAATTAGACACTGTCCACGGCCAACATGGGGTAATTTAAAGTGTTTTAAATGGGGTTGGGTCCGGATCACGGTCCGCTAATCCGTGACCTCTGAACTGATATTTTGTTTGAAACTTTGAAGCTCGAACTAGTAATCTGTGATAACATGCATATTCAAACCTGAAAAAATCGATGTCGCGGCATATCGTGATATTCGGCTTCCAAAAATATAATATTGATCGTTCAGTTCTAGTATTGATTTGGAAAAAAAAAATTATAAAAATGTTTACCTAAAACAATAAGGGAAAATGGGCTGCATCTGCACCGCCACACTGCTAGATGGCGCCATGGAGCCCTTTAGCTGTGCGGCGCGGCGCCGTATTTGTATTTGAGGCAGTTAGAGTGGAAGACACGGACTGACTCAAACCCCAAACAGCATGGATACCAAAATGACTAAATGGTCATTATCTTCTCAGGAACATATCTGTATATGTCATCAGAAGATATTGATCATTTAATTATTTTGGTGGCAGAGCTTGCTTTTTTATCTATACATTTAATTTTGATAGCTGGAAAAATATCACAATATAGCGATATTGTGATATTGTGATGGTATTGTATTGTTACACAAGTATCGTATCACAACCCCCATGCCATTACTCACCCCTAGTGCACAATCATTTTAAAAATGTACCAGACTGAGGTGCAATAATGTGCGTGAGTTTGAAAAGATAACAGAGATAACCTTTTCTATTCGGTCGAAGCACAGATTTCACTTTATGTGGACTTTAAATGATTGAAAACGGGTCAGTTTATACCAGACGTCAACAAGATGGAGGCATACTGAACAACTGTTGAATTTTTTATTTCTTTTTTGTCCTTAAATCAATGTTTAAGCTTTATTATATTGCATCAAAGGTTAATAAAATGTTTATTCAGCTAAATACTTAAGTTCTGAATGGTTTGCCTTCCTATTTTTTTCCTTTTTCTGTTTCAATTTTCAATAAGATGTATTGAAAGAAAGCCCTGTCACCTAAATGACACGCATATTCAAACCTCAAAATATAAAATGTATTAATAATCACCTAAAACTGCACTCCTACAATCCATCAATATTCACAATCAGACTTCTGTGTGTCTTTTGTTTTCTTTGCCTTAAACTCTGCATTACTGCTGTTAATTTTTAAACTGGCCTTAATGGAAAATCTTGTAGTTTGTTCCTGTTTGTTTAGAAGCTCCTGTGTTTTTTGTGGGGATTTTTTATTTTTTTATCAGATCCTAAGTAAAAGAGGAAACATGACAGGGTTTAAGATGCCTGACTTTTAAACAAAAACCAGAAGTGATTTCAGAGGTTGGAAAATGTTTTTTTTTCAGCTTTCCAAAATGAGTTTATTTGACGAAGTCATTAGCAGGAGTCAACATTTTATTAAAAATAGAAAAATAAATGATGTTCTGGGTAAAATTGCTCCCTGGGCGCCACACAATGGCAGCCCACTGCTCCACTAAGGCGATGGATGAAATGCAGAGAGCTCATTTCTCCAATGTGAGATCAATAAAGTTCAATTATTAATATTAAATGTGGAAAATTCCAAAACAGTCAATGTTGAAAGTCCAGAGTCCTGAAAAAAATTGTAAAAAAAATATTATACTAATAATGTACTATATTGTTAATATATTTACCAACTTATGGATTTGTCTAAAAAGATGGAACGTTTATTGATTTTTACATTTAATGAAACAAACTAAGCTGAAAATATCATAAAGGAGTTTGTACACAAATGCCACCGATCTACACCGTTTGTTACCAAGACCTTTTTGTTTTTGTTTAATCAGCAGTTTAATAACTGAAGGAGTCAAACATTGAGCTAAAAGGACGTCAAATAAACATAAAAAGACGTCAAATAAACATAAAAAGTGAGTTTACCACCGGTCGTAACATATAGAGGGAAGTTTCTGCTCCTCTGGTGTCAGTTTCTATGGAGACGTCAGAGAAACAGAAGAAGCTAGCAGGTACAAAGGCCACATTTCTGAAGAATCAGTAAACAAACTACAAGAGCACTCAGTTAAAACCAAACATGAGATTTAGTGTTGGAATCGACAGACGCTGTGATTAAAACAAGATTTAAATAAATATCAAGCAGATTTCTGACTTATTCTGCATAGTTCCTTTATGAAAAACAATAAAATAACATCTTTCAGATGAAATCGGGATCATGGAAACATATCCACTACTAATGTTTTAGTTCAAATGGGTCATTAGTTTATCTCCTGCTTTAATGCTGTGTCTCCTTCCTGCAGAGCATGTGGGTCAGGCGTTAGGATGTCCTCTCAGGCTGAGAGAAGCTGCTGTAAAGGAGCTAAACTATCCTGCTAAAGTATGAATTGATCTAATTGTCCTGAACCCACACAAACACCCCCAGCTGATAGGAAAGTGTGGGCTGTGCAGTTTGTTGGCGGTTTCTGTCCCGTTTTATCGGCCGCTGAGGCAGAGTGTCGGTGCTGCTCGTTTGCTGTGATGTATAAATCAATAGAGCTCTGTTTAAAAAGCAATGACTTCATCACGGCTCAGCGACCAGAGCTGGTCACCGTCGCCGCCGCCGCTGCTGCTGGATGTTTTCAGCTAAAAGCAGGCAGGAAAAACACCTCCAGCGTCTGCGCTCCGAGACGTTTTTAAAATTCATTAATCAGTTGTGGTTTTTCTGCGGCTGCTGTTTGTGTCAAAAAGTATTTATGATATGAAGAAATTATTGAGAATGTTTTGGCTTTTTTATCTTCCTCTCTGCTCCGATAGGATTGATGTAATGTTCAATTAATGGATCCTAAAAATCTTTGGCCCTTAAGAGGTTTAAAATAATTTATGTTCAGGTACAGAAACAAATGTTTCAAAACAAGGTCAAACATTTAAAATGCTTTTAGTTTGAATATGAATTACCCTCATAACTAATCGAATTAGCTGATGTATTTTGCATCATTTTAGAGTGAAATAAATACTTTCCATAAGTAAAAATGGATAAATGAGACGATAATAAATTATTATAGTTAGTGCAGAACTTCATTAACATCTCTTTCCTCTCTGCACCCTAAGCCCCTCCCACAGCGATGGCTGCTAATCAGTGAAAACTAAGACTTTTCCGTTAGTTTTTAAATGTTTACTTTGGTGATTAAACCCAAAGCCAGACGCTGAAGCTAAAAGATTTCAGTTCTCTTTATTTCTCAGTAGCTGCTCTAGTTTCCCACAGAGGGCAGAACTTTACACACCAACAAAGCAGAATCTACACAAATATTTTAGATTTTCACTCTTGTTTGATCAGGAACCAGAACTTTCTGGTTCAGACCTCAGCAAGACGACGAGGCAGAAAAGGGGAAGGAGCAGCTTCTAACTTGCTGACTTTTAATAAACGGAGATTGTCACCAGCAAACCGACGATGACCGGGTTCAACCTTTATCCCTGCTCTCACTGTGCTGATAACGTAGAAAAATTCAGCTAGATGATGCCGCAGACAGCAGGAGTCTACTTAAGTGTTTTTATGGGAGGTTGTTTAGTTTTTCGGACACTACTTCAAAGCCGTAAAGAGAATTTCAGTAGCAGAAGTCAAACGTTTATGTCTGATTAGACAGTTAGGACTGGATCCAAAGTTCTGCAGTTGAAACCAGGCCTGAGCCGTAAACCCCCAGCAGTACTGTAGTACTTCAGGTAAAGAAGCAGCCGGTGTCTTTTGTTCAGGCTACTCGCTGTCCTTGAATGGTCCTCTGCAGGCTGCTGACTCAGGACTCTTAAAGCATATTACCGTCAGTGAGTCAGGCCTCTGCTTGCATCAGAGAGCCCAGTCTAATTTATCATTTTTATTCAGGGTAATATCTGCGCTCCAAGTTACCATCTGATTTAAATCAGCCCTGACATGTTTGTTTACTTAAAGAGCATACATTCTCCATTTAAAAAAATATTTTTAGATTGTCTATATTAGTTTATTTCCAGGAATAAAAAAGGTGAAACATCACAGGTTTATGAGTTTTACAGCTGGGTTAAATCCCAGCTAGGGAGCCCTTACTGTTGAGATGGCAGCACAAATCCTGCAGAGAGGATTATTAGATGTTTCTTTGCTTTGATAAAGATATTTGATTTAAGTTTTTTCAGCAGGCACT